CCCCGATGCATAATAGGCTAGAAACCAATATTCGAGAATATACTGTTATTACAACACGTCACGTTTTTTAGGGGTGTTAGGTCATTAGTTCGAAGAACGATAGGTCAAATTAGATAGGACGAAGTACGTTAGGTTGAAGACTTTTTTCCATTAAAAATAAGCACTTTTTACGAAGGATACTGTATGTACTTTAAATTTGTCACGATGGCATAATTTCCAGCAATTTTCTTTCTTTTTGAAATGAGTTTTTCTAATTTTTGGCATTTTAGATTATATTTTTATTTTTATTCTCTTGGAATCATTTCTAGAAGGTTTTCTTACTTTAAAACATGAGCAATAATTGCAAAAAAAAAATTATTCTTTCGAGTGCGATAATTTATTAGCTAGAGAAAGTTCTGAAGAGATTAGCCTTGCAAAAGAATAAAAACCGAAAACCGTTCGATAATGCAGTGCTTGGCCTTTGGCTGAGTGGAGTTAATGACCAAGCAACATTGAGAATTAAATGGAAGAAAAGTAATTCACATCTAGTTATTGTTTGGCTGATATCGGCTGGAGGGGGATGTGCTTGCATGATGGTCATGCATTTCGGTTTGTCGGTGGTTATCGTGGAGAATGATTCAAGCCCGTCTGCCTTATGCAGAATGTATACATTGTGTACAAGTTGGACGAATTACAGGTCGTTTTCTGCCATTTCTGAATACATAAGGTATGAATATGCACCGTTGGACATCGATCATAGTTAGATTTGATGAGTTTGTTCCAGTTGAAAGACATTCTTATAAATGTGTTATCATTGTACTTGATTTCCGTTTGCTAGCCGGCGGGATTATCTCAAAATTAATGTTGACGTATTTGTGGGTAACGATCTCACTAGTTTTGCATCGGATAGGGTTTTTTTTTCAGATGTGGCCAATTTGGTCCTGAACGCTCACTATGACCACCATTGATCTTGATATCAATATAGGCAGGTTATAGACTCACAACCCGTATTCACCGGAACATGTTCCGGCCAGAAAGGTAAAATCGTTGCCCGGGATGCTTCCCGAAAGGATTTTCCACTAACGGTAAATCGGTAAAGCGCTCTTCAAATTCTCAAGCGTGTATTTAACCATGGCCAATTCTATATTGTGCTGACAATTATTATATAAAAGTACTGCAATTTTAAGAGTGTACACAGGTGTACGGATTTAGAATCAACCGAAAAAGAAGGATCAAAAGTAGTGCAGATTTTTGATAAATACATGAGCATGATTGACCGCCCTATGATGCAACTCAGTTAGTGCCAGATCAGCTGTAATTACACGGAGAACCAATGGACGTTGATTGGGACTAGCATTCATCCTCAATGTTTAAATACTGGTGATCTAAAATTAGGCAATACCAGCACCGGCCACGTCCGAATGCTGGTCGAGAAAGGAATAGGTAGGAATATGTTGACGTTATACTCATTTTAATGACAGTCGAGAACACCTCTGCACTTTCACGAGAAATCACTGGGATGTTGGATAAAAGGGTTGGGATTGCAGCAGGATTCGATTAGGCAAACGATAAGCTGAATAGATGTCCTAACGGTTCCATAGCGCAAAGGAGCTTGGATTTGAACCCACGGTATTCTGCTCAGTAATCGAAATCGGTCGCTACTAGGCCACCGAGCTCCATATACTTCAAAACAATTACGATCAAGTCTCCGTTCAATCTGTTATTACTATGTTTCGATACCGGTGACGACCTCACCGATGATGACAACAATTGCTCTTGAGAAGAATTTGATATGATCTATAATCTTATCTAATCTAACACCAACACAGCCAGTTCATGAAAGCATCCTGGAAAATGTTAGACATACCTCTATCCTTTTTCTTGTCTATTTGGTATATTTTGTTCATCAGAGATTTGCAAAATATATCAAAACGGCCAGGCCTAATGTGCAGCATTTAAGGGGCAAGATGATTCAGAAACATCGGGCCTGTTTAAATCAAAGATTTAAACACGATGTTTCAGAATCCAATAAATGGATGAAACGTGGACATCTCGTACCGTACGTTCCGTTATTATAAATGATTGGGCTAAAAATCTAAAAAAGTTAAATGATGCTCCATTTTCCTCGAGTGGTTGGGACATGAGCACTTACTCTTATCTAAGCCCTATATGGCTTATGGTTATAGCGCCAAAAATGGAATAAAAGGCCGCAGGATAAACGAAAAGGAGGTAGGAACCCTAGTTCTATCTTCCCTTGCGTAAAAAATGAAAAAAGGGTCTCTAATCAATCTACAGGAAAAGTTCGATTCAATGACTCGTGAATTTTTCCTTTTGTGTGTTTCATAAAACCTCGCAAAAATTTCCAACGCTGAACACAAACAGGTGAGAGCTTTTTTCAGTAGAGAATAATATAACAAAAATATATTATAAATTTAAAAACATATAAATAAAAATAAAGGGAAGATCTCAGCCAGTTTCATTAATGTTGTACTCTTACTGGCTTGCTGCACTACTTTTGAACCAAAGGCACTTACAAGACTTTTCCGGGTTATTTCCAAACTAATTCAAAAATTCTTCAGGCAAATCATGAGCAAAAAAACTTTAAGGTACAAAACATCAAACGTCTAAAACCAGAAAAAGCACTAGGACGACTCTCTTACCGAATGAACCAATTGGCAAATCTATGTTGGAACTTGGGAACCCACTCGTTCCCAACCTTTGACAATAGCGCACTCGACATTTGATTTCTCATCAAAATACCAAGGGGGGGGGAGGTGGCTGTCAAATACGAACAATAGTTGCCTACCTCGCATAACTTGTTCCAAACGTAAACAAGCCATAAGAAACATACAGCGATTGTTTACGTTTGGAACCAGTTTCATACAAGAATGATCAGTAGGCTGATTTGACAGCACGTCCCCCCCAGCAAAATACAGCACGAAAGCGGCTCTTTGAAATTATGTCTAAGACAAAGTTGTAGAAACCGAAACAGGTGAATAAATAACGAAAAGGACGCTGATAAAAAACACTTTGAAATGCATTTTACGCGATCACTTGCACTTGCTTTGCACTAAAGTTCTTTTCTAGAACTATGTTATCGAGTGGCACTTCGATCTGAGAAGAATTTGATATGATCTTTTCTAAAACTCAAATATTACTTCTTCTACGTACCCGTCTTAGCAATTACCTTTTTTAGTAATACTTCTTTCAACTGAAACAAATTTCCTTGCATTGACATGGTCATCTGGGAGGAGGTTCACGTCTAGCGCTTTCCCCAGGAACCGTTCGCGGTCACCAGCTACCGCCCGTCCAGTCTTGGGCGTATCCGGCGAGGCATCCTTCAGTTTGCTCGCAATCTCCGTCAGCGGCTGGTTGGTGCCAACATGAATGATTTTTCTATCCAAATTTTGGATCTGCACAATGAAAAACCTTTCTTCCATGCAATTTTAATTTTTGTTTGGCTGGCACTTTCATCACCAATCCTCCCAGACAACTCGAGTGCACGTATATTCAAAGCTGTTTTTGTAATTTATAAACATATATACAAACAAACAAATCGTAAAGATGCAAAAGAATGCCTTATACGTACAAAAGTGGAGGCCATATACGTGCAAATTTTAATTTCTTTTTGAACTAGTTGATTTGATATTATATACAATGTAATCTGTTATAATCATAATCAATTTGAAAAGTCTTACGATGTAATCTGATTTAATGTACGATGGAAAAAATATTCAGCGTATATAAGTCGGAAATTTGCATTCTATACTATTTAACTTAAACATAATGCGATGTATGTCATTCTTATATGCGATGTTGACATAATCTGTAGCAATTTATGATACTGTCTGTACATTTTTATACGATTTCTGGTTGTCTGGGCCGGTTATTCACTCAAGGCAACCAAGAGCTAAACTCAGACACTACAAAGTCTAACGGAGTTAAAATATGAGAACTATTCTCAACAATATATGCACACTTAAAATAACAAATTTTATACTAGACGTAATCCATATTGGACGTAAATCATGGAACGTAAACAAACAAAAATTAAGTGTTCTCAAACTAAGACATAAGCAAGTCGACGAATAGAACGTTTGATTGAATTAATTTTCTCGTTTCTTTCAACTAATTCTTATGTCAAAAAGGCCGCTTACATGTCGGTCTCAGGGAACCGATATTTACATGACTTTTTCGTAGTGTGTGCTATCCACAAGCTGACGCAAATGCTAGCATAACTATGCTTTATCGTCTAGCCCAAACATTTTGGCAACTTTCCAAAAAAAAAATCCTTTCTAGATTCCGAGAAAACAGGAGGAGATCAAGTGTGTCCAGTTTACCATATATTTTTCTTCTTCTTTGTTTTGATTTAAGGGTGACCCTAATAGAAAAATACCATAAAAAGTGCTTAACGATGTGTTCAAGGAATTATTTATTATTATTATTTAAGGAATAAGTTTACCATTAGGGATGTTGTTCGCTTATGGTTTAAATGGAGGGTGAGAACAAAATATTTCAAATGGCTCCCACTTTAAAAAGTAAAAACATAAGCACAAACTGAGGGGACGACAATTCTAACTCTCAATTCTAGATGCTCAAATCTCCCGCTAGTGAATCAATCTTCGAAAAATCTTCTTTCATTTCTCGAATATACTTGCATCGCGCATCATATTTTTGAAGATAATCTTCAGTATCGTCACCAATCTACTTGCTATCTACTCAGCATGCACGCAGCTAACCACATAAGTTTTCCTGCCTCGTAGATAGAGTCGCCCCCTCGGCACAAACATTGTTTATATGATGTCATCGCATATATGAGAAACTAAATAATATCGCCTTCCTATTGCATCAACAATTTATTTAGATTATTTTAATCGCAATTTATTTCAGATGTACTTACAAACAAGTTATTCACAATTTGAGTTACTATGGAATCTGTCAGATACCAACTACGAACATACCAAGTTACAGCTAATGAGGTGTGTACAAAGACTATTGATTAAAGCTCAGACTGAATCCTCTTAATAACGAGCATTGTAGAATGGTCCTATACTACTGATCGGAACGTTGTATGATGAAACGCCACTGTTGTAATACGAACCATTTTCCAATCCTGGAAGTCGTTTCTGTAGCGCATGAAAATATGATTTTCTCTCTTGCTCATTATTCAAATAATATCCTTTAGAGGGAACGATTTCTATGTCGTACCCAACTTCTCGCCCAACAGCCGCTGGTGTTGGTGGTAGAATTCTTTGAACTAAGACGTCATTCCTTCGTGAAATCTGAGCTGGTGATGGATTTACGGGTGGACGGCTTGCCACAATGAATCTCGGTGCAACAGATTGCGGAATAAAATAACCAGTTTGCGGGACAGAAACATAGCTTGGCTGGCGATAACTTTGTGGCGCTACGGATACTTTATTCACTCGGATCACGTTTTGAACCGTGGCAGGATTTGGATTACGCGGTGCTGGAGGGGCTTGAGCAATTTGAGATTTTCCGGTGACTGCCCATCGCCTAATCGACCCAAATGGTACCGGTGATGGTGGTAAAACGCCTGATGGTGGAAGAAAGACTTGTTTCGGTTGGAGGCGTGGTGCTGGGGCCTTTGCAAATCCCATATCGGTCCAGGATTTTAACAGTTTGCCCATCAACAGCTCGAACTCAACTTTTGGCATTGGTGGTGCAGAAATGGCCTGTAATTAATGAAAAAAATATGTGAAGCAGTCGTAATTGTACATCGCTTGTGAGTGGTTAATGATACCATCCATACGTTTAGGCGTATTGTTTTTTTTTTTTGTCATGGAGTGACAGTTAGATTCGCGCTCGAACTGGTGGGACAGGTTTATGTGTATTGTCTTTTGTCTAGTGTTAAGTACTCAAACTATGGTTGAAGACGGCTTCTGAACTTGTCGCTCCTTACAATGAAATGATGGTCTTCTAATTAAATTTAAGTTGTTGTATTACGCATTACCCAAACCCGATCTACGATTAAAAAAATCTCCATCGTGAAAAATGTTGCGTTAATATGATATATATGCAATGAATGCTCGGAGGTACTAAAAACAAAAAATCGTAGAGAAAATATTGTTTTCCTGCTAAATGTTCACTCGTACCGTGTCGCTTATGACGTTAACGCCATTAATGTCAGCGTAACGTCATCAATGGGAAATTGCATTGCAGTCTTCCACTTATATTCTCGTTTTCGTTTGAACTGTATTTTCCATACAAAAAACAAGTTTTTATTTAAATGGAAAATACACTTTGAACAAAAACAAGAACATGGGTTATTAACGCGCAGCTTACAGACCCCCGCGAAAAAACTTACACTTTGATTTTCCTAAAAATAACGAAAAATTATATCATAAATCCAAGAAACTGCGCTTTTTCCTGTGATTCTTAAGAAAACGTTCGTGCAAAATTATTTTTTCTTCATCATGATGGTAAAAAGTAAAATACCGCTTAACGAGACCTTTCGAATTGTTTTTTACCCAACTTTTTAATGACTGTTCAACATTTTTATTTCCTTTAAAGGGAAGCTTACAGCCCAATAAACAAACACCTTTTCACGTTTGAATTTTTCTTAAAAATATTGGAAAAGATATAAAGAATCTAAGAAAATCAGGTTTTCCTTTATATTTATATGTAAAAATATGTTTTTATTTAAAAATTGACTATCAGTCGCTAACCTAAATCGAAAATTAATTTGATGATAAATCATCACTATGGCCCGGTGGTCGGAGGTGAGGCCAGCGGCTCATTGCTCTATTCATACTGCATTGGACATCCCGTATCCAACATGTGTGATGTAGAACAGAGACGAGTTGTGTTTGTTCACATCGACCGATACTGAGTGGTTGCGGTACAAGCACATATCGTCGGTAATAGACGATTGTTGTGTATTGAGAACGCTTGCGCAAAAAGACTAAGGGAGGGAAACGGATTCGAAACTCATATGTCATTAGCCAAATACATCCGTAGACCATAGGTCCACCGTTGTATAATTGGCAATGCACCCGTGTACTGAATGGGAATTGTGGGTTCGAATCCCACCGGTGCCCTTAGATTTTTTCGGAAATTTTGTCACACGCACGTCTCTTGCCGATGATATGTGCTAACCTCTCAGTATCTTCTAACTGTCGCATATAACAAATAAAAATTGACTTTCAGTCGCTAACCTAAATCGAATATGTTTTTATCTCATCATGAAAAAAAAAGTTGGAATCTATTAGAAACCGAAAGATCATTTTTTACTATTTATTGAGGCCAACTTTTTGCCATGATGGCTTTGAAAAAATGTGTTCAAAGTAAATTTTCTTTAAAAAACCAGTCTTTTTTTCGAAACAAGAATTTTAATTTAAAATTTCGTTCAGTGAACAAAATCATCCGCAATACTTCGCATTGCTCGAGCCCGTTGACAAGATGCTTTTGAATTGTGGATGATTGCCTTATTGTTGAATTCGTTATCAGCTGATGAGCATCCATATGACTGTCATCCAATTGAAGGATGATATTTATTTGAAAATTGGCTGTAAAACAAAGAACAACAATTTAAGAATAGCATGACTTGCAAATGCTTTAAATTAGATTTATAATTCGCTTGTTTACAGGTTGGTAGAGGAGTCTTCCTACTCCACGAAATAGACAATCTTCAGTTTCCACGCTATACCAATGTTCGTATCACCTCTGATAGTGATTAGTATGTTTCCACCTCGTTTAGCAAATGATGTTCGATAAAATTATTTACATCATCATTTTGGATTATTTGCGTTATAAGGCTGAACCAATACCGTATGCATTTCGATTCGGAATGACAATCATTCTACAGAGAGCATTTCATATTTCAACTGAGGTTCGTTTGCTTCTCGTATCATTGTTCATCCTGAAGTCGAGAGGAGAATCATCTGATTACAAAACAACCATCATCGGGTTGCAGCTATCATTCGAAAAAGCGATTTTGATGCTTCGATTTGAATGGGCTGAGGATTCACTCGAACATAGGGTGATGTTTTGGTACAGTGTAGTTGGACTAACGACTTCTGACATCATAAGTGACTGATCGTGTAAGAGCGGGGCCCTTATGTTGTGTGATGATACTGAAAGAAATGGAAATAAAAACATACCGATTGTTCGGCTGTCCTGCCATGGTGGAGACATCACAGACAAAGTGACAGACGGTGCTGCTCGAAAACTTTCGAATTGTACTAGCATTTTTACCAAATGTACTAGAATGTTTTAGTTCTATCTCTTTCACTCTACTCAAAACATGCATAAAACCAATGACAACATGATACACTCTTTGCACACTGTCAAAGATCATTGCACACAAAATCAACATTGTTCAGATCAAAACAAAAATACTAGCCCATCTGGTGGCGGATGGCACAAGATTCTAAGAATATTCTGTTATAGCGAACCACATTATTTTAATTGATATCTCCACCAGTTAGTCGTCTGTCACTTCGTTTGTGGAGACATACTACATACTGTTTACATCTAGGATGCATGGGTTGAGGTCAGGGGGAGCATATCCTTGTCAACCACATATAGATGCCATAAAGATGCATATCATTTTGACATTTTTGGACAATCTGGCACTTTTGGGCATACTGACAGTGGTAAAACTGACGGAGGTACGACAGAACAAAACAGCTTACTCTATCACACTTGCATTGCGCAGGGCTGTATGCTAGAAAGACTAGTCTGTTGCAGTCACCCTAACGCCTGTATTCATCACATTGATGAAAGCTACGTCAAAATTCTTGATTGCTGCCCCCGTGGTGGACCTGCTATTTTTGTCCAACGGTAGGAGGAAACAACATAATGGTTTGCAAGCTGGTTCACAACATACGCAGGAGATGTATTCTTAAGTAAATGGAGAATTTTTTTATGTCATTTCACCGTTCCAATCAAGCTATGTCTTCAATCATGTTTGTAATGTATATCGCGTAGATATACTACAACAACAAAATGAAAATGTGTTTGAGAATATGGACATGGTCTACATACATAACTGTAAGAGAAATCATATGTTCTCCTGTTGCATCATAAATAATAAATATCCATTTCTGATTTCGTCATTTTTGAACCACCCTACCTGCAACATTCATCAAAATGAAGTGCCTTCAAAAATGTTTTATTTTGTTTTTTTTTTTATATTTCAAAAATTAAATCTGTTAATTATATAGGGTTAGGAACACATTAAGATCAATTTGTATAAATGCATTCTTTTCGAGTTCTTAAGCATAACATATAAAGCGCAATTTAGCTCATCCAACAGATCTGTTTTTTTTTTTTAATTGTCACTGTAACACTCTTGGGTCATTCTTCACTAGTCCGAGGATGGCGTGAGAGGTATGGATATAAACCACTACGCTGGGCCATTTTCACAATCTATTTTTACAGATAAGCGGTTCCAGGCCAAATAGCGAAAATATAAACAATTTTAGATTTTACCTCTCAGAATTCCATGAAAATTCGCTCAGGGCCAAGTTTGTGCTGGAATTCAGCCATTTTTGAAAATTGTGTATTCGATATTTTTCAGTAAATCATAACTCTAAAACGGCTCATCTAATCAAATTGTCGTCTGAGATAAAGTTAAAGGAAACTGGTTTGCCTTCAGAAAAAAAAAATTGCACACTAAAAAAATTCCAAATTTTCATAAAAATAAAAACGAAGCTTTACAACAACAACAAAAGCACACTTTTTATTTTTTTTTTAAGTATTTTATTGGAAGATTAGAAAAAATGCTAAATTTTCTGAAAAGTACACAATGAACGCTTAAAAAATTCAACATAAGTTTAAAAATCTAAAATTTTTTTTTTCTTAATATTGATGTTTCAACAATTTTACTTTTCAATGTTTGCCAAAAATTGTGATTTTTATTCAGTGCATATGTTTTTCTGATAAGGCATTCCAGTTTCCTACAACTCTGTTTCAAACGTCATTTCGATTAGAGAAGCCGTTTTTGTACTATGATATATTATTCGAACACGACGCAAACTTGGTTCATTACCCCTAGTGAACAATTCTCGCGTCACTTTTCAATAGGTTCTATCTACTTTGATCGATAATCTTCATCGATTCTCTCTTTCGTTAATAACTTGCCGGCATTCATATTTTGGGCTAATTTGTTTACATAGTCTGATAAAAGAAAGTATTATCAAGCGTATTGAACGATAAGAACAACTAAACCTGTTTTTGGAGCCGAGTTATTAACGAAAGAGAGAGAGAGAGTCAATGAAGGAAATCGATCAATGTAGATTAGGGTGTCCCAAAATTGCACTATGTCTGGAAATCTGGAGGCTCACCCTGCAAATGATAGCTAAGGGTGTTACAAACAAACTTTTGTAGGGCGGCAACTCTGAGAAATGTTGTTTAGAGGTCACCCCAACGATATTTTTGAAAAAAGTCCAATTTCCATAGCTATTATCCAATAAATATTTTTAGTTCTTTAAATTTAAGTGAAATCTCACCCTTTTATATTTTTCGCAGATTCCCAAGGGTCAAAACTATAAGAGAAAAAATTGCTACGCCATGTTCTCTATCCAATTTGTTAGTTACAATTTTTCAAATTCTCTAAAATGATGTTTTTTTGTTGTACATCACTGCATTCAATCATCAAAAGTGGGTATCAAACATAGCGCTATTATCAATCAAATGCAACAGGAAATTTTATAAGCAAAAACTTTGCCGAAGACACTTTAACCTAATTTTTAACCGTTAAAAAGTTATTCGTGATTTACTGTGGAAAGAAAAGTTCAGAATTTCAATACTTGCAGTATGTCCACTAGACTGATGCAAAATAAAAATTTTTCGCTCCAATCTACATTGTAGATTGGGCTATTTGAAAAGTTTCATGGAATTCGCAAAACGTGAAACTGCTCAGATTCATAAATACATGTTTAATTTAACTGGATACCTACCATCGGATGAACAAAAAAATCACCGTCATTATTTTAAAAACATCAGTAAAGCCGTTTATCCTAACTAACGAATTAACGATCTCAAAATCGTGTAAAGCCAAGCAAGTGAAATCAACTTCATTTAGATTACTTTCCAAGAAAAGTAATCGTTAGGCAGAGGTAGAAAAGACGACGATAGCTTCAACGCTCACAATCATCCAGTGCACAATGAATACTTATAAGGAAACGAATCGTAGTGTCATGACAAACGATCTTGGCATATTAGGCACTGCTTGCACCCATCCTTTCCTCTGAACTAGGTTAAAGGCAAGTGAGAGTACCAACTTTCCCAGCATGATTCCACTCCCAGGCTGCACCGGATGGAAGTAAATTAGTCGGTAGAATGAACAATTTTCTTCGTCGTTTCGTCGAGGAGGCAAACTTTTTAAGAAAGATGTTCCTGCAGTCGCGTATGTGTGAACGAGTGTATGTGTGCGTTCTCAAAGATACTGCTCTGAAATTGTGTCTTGTCTATGTTTGCCGCCGTTTTCTTAAACTTCCCAAGCAGGAATTCAAATATTTGTGCAGATGACAATGAACACTCAACTATTTTAGTTTGTAGACAGTTGATGTTGTCGGAAATTGAGTATCTTACCTCTTCGTTATAGTGCTGTTGGTTCACCGATGATGCTTTCCATCCACTCGTCAATCTTGGTGGTAGCAGTTGTGCACCACCTGGTGGTACGAGGAAGGACGATTTCCTTGGGTCGAACCCTGACTGTGGGTCGGTAGAAAGTGTTCCCAAACTTGAAACATATACTTGCTTCGATGGATGTGGCACGTCTTTGCCCGTATGATGTTGGAAACTACTCTCCTTATTGAATTTTGATTGAAAAACGTCGCTCTTCGCACCACCCGGTTGTACCATATTGCTGTTTATGCGATATACTGGAAGATTTTGATCTACAAAGTCTCCCGTACTAAAGTCGTGACCATGTTTCCTATTCGCTAGGATCTCGTTGTTAAGTGAACTCGGTTTCACATCGCGGATTGCGCCATCAGACATCATCGAGGACATCATCGGAAAGCTAACCATTGACATTACTGCTCCCATCATTTTGCCAAAGTCAGCTGTGTTTTTACCTAGTTCCTCGTTCTTGCTGTAAAAATTTTCGCTTTCCTCGCATCGAACATTCATGTACCAATCGCAAACAAAGTATTTTTGATTGAACAGAGTACCATTAGGACAAAGGAAGGCAAAACCGGATCCAGAATCATCGGTATTGGCACATACTCGAAACACCTGGCAGCGTGCTTCCACGTCAGCATAATATCCTGTAAAATAGAATGCGATAAATGTTAGGAAAGTCTTTGCTAATTATAATGTTTTTCATGATCAAATCATGTTAGTCGATAACAGACACCTGTTCCTTTTTCTATTAAACGCTAACGAAGTCCCATGTTGACATCAAGGAAATAAATATAAAATGTAGAACATTTACGTCGATTCTCATATGGAATAGCAGATTCCAGAACACAACCGAGCTTAATCTATTCCCCGATCCACCACGAAAACGCTGCTTCCACATATCAACATTAATTGCTTTCGCAGAATGTAACGTCTCCATCTATGTTACCCCCCTTTGTGGCACACAATGGTCACATAAAGATTGGTTCAGATATGCTTCTCATGAAAAAGTGGCTCCAAACTTAGCCCTCCAATAGCATCGGTGAACTCCTACTGTTTTTGGATCCATCAAATCTCGCTCAAGGCTATATATTCAAGCTGTTAATTTATTCGTAGTTTAGTATTATGGTACTTTTCAGCATGTCTATAACTAATAATGGGAGGCCCCTATCAATGAGATACAATCGTATAGAATTGCAAGGTATATCATCGAGATAATTCGTGATGATAACTTTCATTATTTGTTCTGTTGATATTTCGAAAAAAAATAAACTAGTTTATTCCGGATAGACCCGCATGAGAATAAGGTTTGAAAGTAAAGTTGTCTCTTCTTTTTTTTTTTTTCCTTGATTTGATTTCCGTCGATTTTGTTTTCCGTACTGAGTACCGATGCTACCGAGGCCAGGGAGGCAGTTGCCACACCTGAACCCTACCTATCGACCCATTAACTCATTTCATGGACCGGGGACCAACGGCTTTACTTCCCTTCCGAAGGAAGGCGTGTTCAGAGATGTTATTGCCACAGAACATTCTGGTGGCGCCGACTGGGATTGAACCCAGGCCTATTGGAGTGAGAAGCAGTTACGCTTACCACTACACCACCGACACAGCTAAAAGTGTTATCTGATGGAAAACCTTTATTACCATTTTTGACATTTTGATATATATTTTAAGATGATTTTGACGTAACAATAACGATAATTTTGTCAATTTTAATACCAATCCTGCCATATAAAAATAAATTTGACGCTTGTATAATTCGGATTACGATAGTCTTGATTTTGTTCGGCAAGCTTCAATTAAATGTTTTTTTTTGTTAAATAGCTCAACGTTTAGGTGTGCGTATTTTTCAGCCATCCTCAGAAAACAATTTCTCCGCGTGATTCCGTTAGTGGGTTCATCTGACTTCTGGAAACTTTTGTGAGAAAGTTGCACATTTCATGTGACACCAGGACAATTTGTGTATTCTAATAAGGAACTTGTGATCATAAATGTAACAACAGATTTAACATACCGTCACGACGCTGGTGACATTTGAAGCTTGTTTCCGGAATACGCCCCAGAATTGGATAATCGACATCTGGTTCACCAGGAAGCGCCGATCGAAGATTGTAGTCGACGGTGGCATCCCGACTTCGGTCGCTGCACGAATCCGGCACATGTGGAAGAGAGCAAAAGAACGACATTTAATAGTACCATAACATATTCATCTGATTGTGTCTCTTGCATAATGATGAATGTGTCACAAAGATGGAAAGGATGTAATTAAATTTCCGGCCATCAAACCACGTACCTTCTGTCAAAGCTCTGTCTACTGTTGCCACCAGTGCTTCCACCAAGAGGAGAGACGATTTGTGACACACCGCTTCGGGTCTGATCTCGAACGATTGACGAAGCAATCGTCTTTCTTGAAGCTGAAGCAGAGGGTGCTAACGACAAGGACGATTTGAAATTTGTTACAGTATTTTTCTTCAATGCTCCACTTCCTTTATTGCGATTTCCTGTGCCACCATCGGAATACGAAATTGAGTTGGGCCGATTGAATGCTCCGCCCGATGTCGTTGCGGTTGCCAGCGCGGCTTGCGATAATGATGCTGTTGATGGGCTTTGGTTGAGAAGGCTGTCATCGTAAACGGCTTCCATCATAAGCTCAATATTGGTGCGAAAAATCTCCTCCGGGCTGCGGTGGCCAGTATCGTACAAACCCGAAGAATAGTACTTTGGAGGTAGGAAAATTCGCGCCGGTTGTCGTATATCGAAACCACCGTTCATCAGCATCTGGAGCACATCGGGATTGAGCATTAGTGCTTGCCCTGCACTGAAACCACCCGACAGGCTGATTGTGGATAATAATACCATGCTTGCAAACATGTCTGAAAAACAAACAAAAAAAAAAGTTTACAGAAGAATTATAAATGGTAAATACATAACCTATCCCAACAACTATTTTGTAGACCAAGCCTCATGATTAATCAAGTGTAATAATCTTTTTATGTGCACGCATCTGTTAATCTTTATAGATGGCATAAACATTTCTAATCTGCATATGGTTTGTATTCAGCATGAACCAGCCCTGTCCGTTGAAATGGCAAAACCTGTTAGCGACAAGTTTTGATCTTCAATATTTTAGCTCAGCCGGCAACCGCTCTGTCTAATGTCCCGGATCTAATCCCCCAGAATTTAGCAGAAGAGCTGTTAAGGCGATAATCATGTTTCACCGCTACCCCCAACTCTAACATCATTTGAGATTTCACACCCTAAGTACAAAGCAGGATCTCGCTGAATATGCTAGCAAAAGGGGTGCGGCTACTGGTGCCTCCGCACACAACATCGATTTTATTATCTTGAAATCCTATAATGAATCTGGCAAAGCTTAACATTAGGAGCTAATTATGAGCTTCGCTGTTTAGCAGTTATTTTCAAGCTGCTACTTTTAACAACAATTTCGGCATTGCACAGTGCTTTAAAAGTGAATACTCGCTAGCTCAATTGGTTGCTGCTGTCTGTGTACATTTTAGCGTCTTATTGGTATGTGTGTTAAGAAAGTTTTAATTTTATTTATTGTTTCGCATCTTTTAGAATATTTAATCTTGATTGAAAATCTCCTAAATAGAGCAAATATAAAAAAAAAATTGAATCTAATATTAATCTTGACCTTTTTTTTTTTTTGAAGACAACTATTTAGACACTAAAATGAAAGCAAATATCGTTATATATAAAAACTCGTAATTTTTCACTTTGAATCCAAAGTGGGATCATTGGTTTATGTGACGGAAATCTGATTAATGTTGTCTGATTATTTAGATTGTTAAGGGGAAGCTCACCGGCACAAAAATAAAAAAATAAATTTCGGTACGTTTTTATTTTTCTAAAAATATTGGGAAAAATTATCAAAAATCCAAGAAAATCAGTTTCTTCCTTAGATTTTTGTCAAAAATTACATGCAAAAAAAATTTTTCCATCCCATCATGAACAAAAATTGGACTCTCAGAAAAACCGAAAAGTTGATGTTTTGTGGTTTTTTGAGTCCAACTTTATGCCATAATGACTTATAAAACATGTTTTTGCACGTGAATTTTCTATAAAAAATTAGAAAAAATGTGATTTTTTTAGATTTTTGATACTTTTTTTCAATATTTTTAGAAAAATTAAAACGTAATTTTTTTTTTCGGAGCGGTCTGCTTCCCCTTAAGGTTCATTTTGAATCCTACACTTAGGCAAACGCACGTAAGAATTCCATACCACTTATGAATTTAACCACAAGAAATCGGTATGAATTTCATAGATTTATCTTATAAAAAATTATGTCGACAGTAAAAACAATAAAACGGAGCCTACAGAACCATGGACGTTGAGATTACGGGTCCTGTGTCAGGACCACTCATCTATCTACGCTCGGAGAGCTACCTCATGTTAGACGAAAATGCGCTTATGAAATTCATATGTGTCGCTCGTATTTGCCTCAGTGCATGGAAAAAGTTAGACTAAATTTGAACACTCAACCAGGGGATGTAAGACTTGTTCACAATTATGAGGGATTCATCATCGCAGGATGTTAGTGGAGACGGCATGAATGGAGGATGAGATATTCCGAACTGTGGTTCAATTCAAGAGAATGGAGAAAGAAAAATGTGGAGTATATTAGTGAGTGAAATGAATTGTGTCGAAAAATATAGAAAAAAAAAAACGGTTGCCGACTGGAACTCGAACCACGATCGATGCGATTAACACTCCACTGTTCTCTCCACTTCTGTCTCCATGCTTCGGAAAATGGTTAGGCTAAATGCAAATAAGAAGCGCTCATAGTAAGATAATTTGATTTCGCATGCTTTTACTGCTGAACGAGAATTGGAGAGAATCGTGGCAAGTATGTGCGTCGTTCTACAATGTTATAAATAAAATGCTTGCTAGTAAAGTCGAAAGCGTAATCAGAACACGAAATAAATAAGATAAAAAAAGCATTACATCGTCTTCAAGGTCAACTTAAGGTCAACATAAGTAAATTTATGTGATACTGATGGATCAACTTTCAAATCAATAATGTAATAAAATGTCTAAATATCTCCTATTTAAACGATAATATCTGCATTAATTGATTCTCTTAAAAGATACTATCTGCATTGAACGATTTCCTTCATCGACTTTTGGTTTCTTTAAAAACTTGCCGCAAAACCTATCCTTGTTGTATTTGAAGAGTGGAGAAAGCACAGGTCTGATAATCGCAACGTTCGTTGTTCGAGTCCAGTCGGCAACCTTTTTCCTATTTTTTTTTTCGACATAATTAATTTACCTCACTAATACACTCTACATTTTTCGATCTCCAATTTTCTTGCATTGGACCGCAGCTAGGTATATCGCATCCTCGGTTCATGTGGTCTCCACTTACATGATGAATCCCACATAATTGTAAGCGAATCTTACATCCACCGGTTAGGTGTATCAATAACTGTGGAGGGCAAAAGAATACTAAGTTGAGAGCCGGCAAAACACTCACAAAAAGAGCGTTAGAAGCCTAGAAGAAGAACAACTGATATGTTATGGGACTTATAAAGTATATATTATAACATTTATGGTTTCGAATTTTCTCAACGTACGAAATTCTAGATTTATGTTAAAGAAACTTCAAAAAAAAAATCAAGACTGAGAATTGCAGTTTGACGATGTGCGGATAATGACGCCACCAGAGCACAAGTATTGCACTGAAAACGAATCTATTAGTACATTCAGACCACAAAGTCATAACATGTTATAACGGATGTCAAATAATTGCAACATAGAAACCTTGATGGTGGTTGTTATAACTCTGTAATCTGAAAAAGGAATTATTCTGAAAGTAGGCACCTTTACTTATGCATATGGGCTGGAAATCAAAACGCTAAAAAGGTGTTAGCTTTGTCTCGACTCCTTCCGATTCGAATGAAGCATTGCTCACATGTTCAATGGTTGGGCGTATTGAAAAAAAAAAAATGAATATATTTTTAAAAAAAATATAACATGAAAATTATTGATCTGATCAAAATTATATCAGAGAAAAAGTGGTAGGTAGTTGAATGTTCTTTTAGCAAAAAATGCACTAAAAGAAAAACCTTGGTAAATTCAAATTAAAAAAATTATAAAACTTTCATTTTCTTAAGACACCCTTTGATTTTTATAATTTTATTGGTAAAGATAGCTGAAGTAACGTTTTACAATTTGGTTAAGAGTGTAAGCTGGTTGTATATTTCTTAGTAAAATAATTTCTTTGGATATTTTTTAATTCTTTATTTTATCAAGACTTATTTTTTATGTGCCTTCTTGTCAATTGCATAATCCACATTTGTTTGCGGTAGATCGCCACCGTACTTGCAAAGCAAAATATGGATCGATTAGTCAGATGATGTCTGTTAATAATCTACACTGTGAAATGATATACCTAAATACGCCTCCAAAATTGAAAAAAAATATTTCCAAACCCTGGTAGAAGGTTGTTCCACACGCTATTTTGAGACTACTCATTTTTGAGTCGAAAATCACTCAGTCCAGCCAAAAGCGACGTTACTCAAGAATGAGTAAACATGCTTTTACTCAAATTTGAGTAAACTGCCTATAGAGAAAACTGGGTAACGGTAACTCAGATTATGACATTTGTCAACTGAGTAAACATTACCCATGTCGGTAGAAACATATGACTGTCCCATGAATGCTTTATACAGAAATTGTTTAGTCCAGGAAGAATATTTAAAAAAAAAACATTGTGAAAATAATAATTCTGGCTTTATTGATACCAACGAGCTATTTGTTAGCGTTGTATACCTTTCTAACTGGCTGCTGATAACTTTCGCCATCCAGGCCATAACGTAGCTGCTCCATTTTCACTGCTTCACTTCTAAAAAGACATTTTAAACTCACTGCGCAAAAATCGCCTGTTTACAACTTCAAAGTGCGCCATTTTGAACTTTGGAAAAATTATATTAGGACCATTTACCCAGAATCTGGGTCGATTCCACTCATCGGAGCAAAACCAGTTTACTCATGTTTTGACAACTCCACACAGCATACAAAAATGAGTGTGATCTACCCAGTCACTGAGTAGCCTTAAAATAGCGTGTATCCATCGTTCCTTCTATTGCTGTCAGTTCCGAGTTTACATGCAGAGTCAGTTGGTTGAAAGAATTTACACTCGTTCACCAATCTATTTGTAGGTGAGAATGGATATTTTGTGCTAGGAGCTGCATGAAAGGTGGCACACAAGGAAGAAGTATTAGTTTGTTTATTTACAAAAATGGAAGATTTCTCCCAACGCTTCCAAAACTCAACTTATAATATTTCCACATAAGCCTAGAGCTTCGTTTTTGAAACCTAGTAGTAGTCACATAGTCACTATGAACGGAGATCCAATTTCCTGGTCAAACCAAGTGAAATATCTTGGATTAATACTTGACCAAAAATTAACTTTTAAAGATCACATTGAGGGCATTCAAGCCAAATGTAACAAATATATTAAATGTTTGTATCCTCTTATAAACAGGAAATCCAAACTTTGCCTGACGAATAAACTTCAAATATTTAAACAAGTTTTTAGACCGGCCATGCTTTACGCTGTGCCAATATGGTCTAGTTGCTGCACTACCAGGAAAAAAGCACTTCAAAGGATTCAGAACAAAATTCTGAAAATGATTTTGAAGTTGCCTCCCTGGTACAGTACAACCGAAGTACATAGAATTTCGAATGTTGAGACTTTAGCACAAATGTCCAACAAAATAATTAATAATTTCAGGCAAAAATCGTTGCAATCCTCAATTGCAACGATTAATTCCCTTTATACTTAGATAAGATTTAGTTTTAGTTTTTAGTTTTAAGATATCAATTGTTATACTGACATGCAGGTTAAAAA